CCCAAGGCAAGATCTGCGCCATCGCGAGTTTCCAGGACAACTTGCCATTCCAAAAGTTGTTTGCCAAGAGCGTCACGTTCGTGTGGGAGCTCATGTTTACTCGTGCTGTGTTCAACACTGAAGACATCATTGAGCAACATCGTCTGCTGAACCAAGTCAGTGCGTTAGTAGACGCCAAGCGACTTCGCACCACGGTGGGCAAGTCACTGGGGACGATCAACGCTGTGAACTTGAAGCTAGCCCATGTGGCTCTGGAAGCGGGCACGGTTGTTGGCAAGTTGGTGCTGTCGGGGTTTTAGTCATGTATATGTATCGATGCAAACTCACACTTGTTGGTTGGTCGCGGTTGCTTGGGATATACTCCTCGTACAAGGTAGTGAACTATGTACCGTAGCCACATTGCATGCAAATTATTTAGAAGTGTTGTGAATTCGCTGTAAACTTCCAAAATTCGCCTTGTTTGTCGAAGCAATATTGAATCACGCCAGCGTTTTCGATTGGTTGAATATACCTTGTCCTATCTTCAAGAGCCAATCAAATCCACTCAAAAATAGATTAGCCAATCGCGTCGATTCGTGATTCGATTTGGCAGCGAGGTTCGATTGGACGGGGTCTGGAAATTCGTATCGAATCCACAATATAATCGCGACTCTTCGCTAAAGTACAGTGCCTCCAGCGTCTGGCTGCTGCCGTTTGGGCACTGTAGCCAATGTCATTGCTAGAAACTATAATCACTGTAGAGACTGTCATTGGTGGCCTTGCGCCAGTACTTGAAGTACGCGTTGTGGTCTGTCTGGTGGGCTTGAATGACGAGCGCAATGTAGGCGATGGGCGGCACCTCCCGGTACTTGGACGGCGTCACCTGTACGAGTTTCATGTACTTTCGGTAGCGCGCAATCGACGCTTCGATCACAACGGGCTGCGACCAGTAGACCCCCATCTGAGCCCCATTTCTCGGACAAACTCCCACAAACGAAATATGCCACGGACCAGGTCCACGTGGTACCGCCTGATCTCACCACCGAGGTACTTGGTCAACTTGGTTCGAATACCGGCTTGGAGTTGGTTGAGGATAGCGCCTCGTTCGGCCAAGTTTTCCTGCGACTGACTTGCCAAATAGCGATTTGGACACTTCGACTTAACCGTCAAGGTGGACATGCGACGGGACAAGTTCCGCCGCGTCCGACGGCAACACAGTAGGGATGGACGAAGCTTTTGGTTTGGTCGCAGTGCTCATGAAGGTGAAAAATTAAAGGTGACGATGAAGTTACATTTGTCCATAGGAGCCCAGGAGATGGGTGGCTCCCATTTCAAAAGTTTGTATGACCAATAAGATTGTACTGGGAACTTCATACTATACACGGTGACGATATGTGAAGAATCGTTAATGTTTGACATGGGGGGGGTCTTTGGAGCCCAAGAGCCAACCTCTCATTAGAGAGGTTCAGCAACTCATCTAAATCTTACCAAGGTTGGATCATACATGTGTACTATTTATTGAATGACAGTACACGAAGACCATAGAGCACTTGGTCAGAATCCCGAGAGGACGACCTTGCCCACGGCGTTGCCCGCTTCCAACGCTGCATGGGCTAGCTTCAAATTCGCAGCGTTGATCATCCCAAACGTCTTGCCTACCGTAGTGCGAAGTCGTTTGGCATCCACCAATGCACTGACTTGGTTCAGCAGATGGTGCTGTTCAATGATGTCGTCGGTGGTGAAGATGGCTCGTGTAAACATGAGCTCCCACACGAACGTGACGCTCTTGGCAAACAACTTTTGGAATGGCAAGTTTTCGTGGGGGGGCAGGATTGCGCAGATCTTGCCTTGAGGTTTGATCACCTCGACAATTGTGTCAAAGTGAGGAGCAAGGTCCGTGAAGACAAGGATGTAGTCGACTTGGGGGAAGCCGAGGGCGGATAGCTGGGACACGATGTCTCCGCGGTGGTTGACGACGTGGTCGGCCCCCAGATCTTTGACCCACGCCTCGGATTCTGGGCGAGACGCCGTCGCGATCACGGTCAAGTCCGTGAGTTGTTTGGCCAGTTGGATGGCAATCGATCCGACTCCTCCAGCGCCGTTGAGGATGAGCACCGATGCATTTTTCTTGGTCGAAGTGGTAGCGGCACCAGCTGATGAAGTCGGAACTCCAAGGCGATGGAACAGGGCTTCCCATGCGGTGATGCTGGTCAGTGGCAAGGCCGCCGCATCCGCAAAGCTGAGGGAGGCGGGTTTGCGGCCCACAATGCGTTCGTCAACGGCGTGGTACTCGGCATTGGTACCGTTACGCGTCCACGTTCCGGCATAGAAGACTTCGTCTCCAACTTTGAAGACGGACGCGTCCGGTCCCACGGCGACAACCACACCGGCGGCATCGTAGCCAAGAATGTTGCAGGTCGACAAGGGGGAATGACCATTGGGGAAGCGAATCGTGCAGTCTACGGGGTTGACAGATACGGCATGAACCTGGACCAGCAGGTCGTGGCCAGCAATGGCGGGTACTGGAACGACGAGGTCAAGGAGGGAGTCGGGGTCATCGATGGGCAAGTGATCGTGGAAACCCACGGCGCGCATGGTAGAAGGGATGGAAGGAGCAGACATGATGTTGATGAGGCACGTTGTTTAATGGCCAAGTTCGACTGGCGATGGAATATCCCGCTTGGATTGCATCTGCCTGTGGTTTGTGTGGTGGCGCTAGGATTACGTCATGTCTGTGATTCATAATGAGTTGATGAAAACCCAGGATTAGACATAGATTTTGGCCAGGTGGTGAAGTTTGTTCGTGAAGGATGCCATATAATTGTACTGTACTGTACATTATACTAGTACTTCGTAGTACTACGTAGTATATAACCTGAATACGGACCAATCTGGTGAATCTGTTACTACGTAGTACCAAACAGAGGTAGTCGCTATAATATCGGATTGGTTAGAGTCCCCGGCGTTTTGTTGCGAGAAAATGGTTGCTGGGCACGAGAAATGTAATACCATTACCTTGAATTTGCTTAGGCAAATGTTGATCTCGTTGCGAGTGCCAGCTAATGGGTTCATCAGGTAGCGTGGGTTTTACCATAAATACTGCTGCATCAGCCTTAATATTGTCTCCACCACACATTTGTACCGTGTACGAAATGAACGTGTTTTTGCCCAAGTTTGATATGTCGCCAAAAATAAGCCAATCAGTGATGAGTATACACAATCACATGGCATGACGTAATCACATAGATCCTTTTTGCTACGTAATCAAGCGGATCTTTTTTGCTACTGGTCTGGCTGTCTATGAAAGCTTGTCAATCAATTCGTTGAAATCAGTGATATACATCAAAACTAGTTAGTGTACCGATGCTTTTTGGCCACATAAAAATCATAAAATTGTAATATTTTTAACTTATCTAAGCGACTGTTCAGCTTCTGAATGTTAATAGAAGTGCCAATTGTTCACTCACTTCACCAAATTGACAACATTCCACCCATCATTCATCAACCTATATATCCATAATGGCACAGGACCAAACACAGCGTACCGACCCTTTATGTCCAGTTCAAGTCCATGCCGTGTCAACAACCCCTTAGACTGTAAAATTCGACGAACGTCAGGTAAAGTTCCTCACTGGTCCCCCAAGGTCCTTGACTACGATGTTGCCGGCGTGGTTTTCGCCGTGGAACCGGACGCTCCGTCTTCAAAGTTGGTGACGAAGTCTTCTATGCCGGAACGTGGACGCGTAACGGTACCAATGCCGAGTACCACGCCGTTGACGAACGCATTGTGGGCCGCAAACCCGCCTCCCTCAGCTTTGCGGATGCGGCGGCCTTGCCACTGACCAGCATCACCGCATGGGAAGCCCTGTTCCATCGCCTTGGAGTTCCGACTTCATCAGCTGGTGCCGCTACCACTTCGACCAAGAAAAATGCATCGGTGCTCATCCTCAACGGCGCTGGAGGAGTCGGATCGATTGCCATCCAACTGGCCAAACAACTCACGGACTTGACCGTGATCGCGACGGCGTCTCGCCCAGAATCCGAGGCGTGGGTCAAAGATCTGGGGGCCGACCACGTCGTCAACCACCGCGGAGACATCGTGTCCCAGCTATCCGCCCTCGGCTTCCCCCAAGTCGACTACATCCTCGTCTTCACGGACCTTCCTCCTCACTTTGACACGATTATCGAGGTGATCAAACCCCAAGGCAAGATCTGCGCCATCGCGAGTTTCCAGGACAACTTGCCGTTCCAAAAGTTGTTTGCCAAGAGCGTCACGTTCGTGTGGGAGCTCATGTTTACTCGTGCTGTGTTCAACACTGAAGACATCATTGAGCAACATCGTCTGCTGAACCAAGTCAGTGCATTGGTGGATGCCAAGCGACTTCGCACTACGGTGGGCAAGACGTTTGGGACGATCAACGCTGCGAATTTGAAGCTAGCCCATGCAGCGTTGGAAGCCCGCACTGTTGTAGGTAAGGTCGTCCTCTCGGGATTCTGACCAAGTGCTGATACAACTTCAGTGTATGAGTGAGTATACATTGGTTGTAGCTGCTCTTAGCATCAATGGTAATCCAGTATGAAGGAAGTCGAGCTCTACTTCGAATGCTTATACTTTTGAGGGTAAGCATCCAATGCCCCCAACCCCCCCCTCTTCAATGAAACTTTCAATTGCCCTTGTTCTTATCGTTGGACCACTGGCGTCGTTGTGTGATTTATTGGCGTTATATTGGCTTATTGAAAGTGGAGGGGGTGACCACCTTTGTCATACGTTGAGAATACCGCCCTAATCGTTACGGCGATGATATTCTGGTGGAAGCTCGCTGGCTTTCTCGATCGATTCTACCCACATACTGTAGCGTTTGTACTTACACAAAATACGGACTTGTACCAACCATAAAATAGCGATGTTGGGCCTTCCGTGGCGGCCAATTTGCGCCGGAGGGTGGCGCCAGCTTGCAATATCCGTGTCGATGGAGGGGGTGGGACCTTCTTCAACTTCACAATAGTCAAATGTCTGTCGGACGGAGTTGTCAACATACTCGAGTCGTCACTGTCATGGGAGGGAGGCGAGCGGGTTTGGTGATCGTCGACGAAGTGTCGAGGGCGTGGAGTGCAATGTCGGCGCGCCGCAGCATTGCTTCGTTGGCTTCGCGCACCTCAAGTTCGCGGCGAGTACGAGGAGAGTGCGTAGTGTCTCCGTATGCCATCAGCGACTCGAGCATGAGTTTTCGCTGATACGATGGAATGAGCGTCTGCAGCGACAATGCCGCGTCCTAGTTCAACGATATGACAATGACGTGGCACTACGGCGGACTACTATGTAAACAAGGACACTCAAGGTTACCCCCAAGTCGCCGTGTTGAGCCATCTGGACGAGCTTTTCCAGAGGATGCACGACGTTCTTGGCATCGCTTTGGCACAAGAGGTCGACGAACTCGTCAAAGCTCAGAGTGCCGTCGCCATTCAAGTCCACTTCATGTAGCAGCTTATGAACCTGCTGTGCTACTATGAGATTCTACAAGAGTTTGTTTTTCAGCTGGGACCTCGTCGAGGGTGTTGGCGTAGCCGAGAACGAGCATCGGCCACGCCAGTTCGGAGACACTGATGCTGCCAGACTTGTCTTGGTCGTACGAGTCAAACCAGTGACGCAAGTGCTGGTGTCACGTAAGAGAGAGAGACTCGTGACGCTTGCCATGTGTTGTGGCGTACCTTGAGATGCGTCGCTTTGTGCTTTACTCTCATGTACGATTTGTGCTTGCGCTTCTTCAGCCACGACATGTCCTCCCCCAACGTGTGAATGGTCCGGTGGTCGTGCATGGCCTCAGCCTGTTTCTGCTTGGACACCTTAGCCTTATCCAGCTGCCGCACCAAGTCCAAGTACGGGTCCACGGAGCCGCCGCTGCGCCGTCGGGCTGTCATGCTGCTTATTGGGTCGATCGATGCAAGGTCCATGAAACAACCGTTACACCAACGAACAAGAATGTTGGTGGTATTCCATCGAATCATGGAAGTCGGTCCCCAGAATGATGGTAAATGATTTCCACCAATGAAAGTTAAACTCGTTACAATCTACTCGACCGCTTGAAAGCCGAGTTCACGGCTTGACGGCAAGGCCTTCAAACATCTCGCCGACCTAAGATAGGAGATTCGTCAGGAGGGGTGCATGCTATCAAGATGATGATGAAGCGACGACAGAGGGGTCGTACCAATTGCTTGGTGGTGGGGAGGAGCTCCGTTGTGGCCGACACACCGCGAAGTGGCGACGCGGGAGGTTGCACTGACGAAGGCGATAGCGCGTCGTGAAAGTCTTCCGAGCTCGTGGATCCGGTGGCGGTGGGGTGGAACGTATTGTCCGGCAACGGAAGGGCGTCATGCGATACAGAGGCGGCGTCTTCCGACTGCCGTGGCGATGGCGGCGCGGACGCAGGAGCGACCGGCACGTCCACAGGAGACAAGCTCGCGTACTTTCCAATCACGTTGAGACCGAGGATCTTTTCATGGATAAAGTCGCCAAGCGCGACGGAATTTTGCATGAGCAGCTTGGTGCATTTGTGTCCGTTGTTGACTTGCAGTTGCCGGATCGAGTTTTCAAACGACATGCCGGCAATCACAACGTCGTTGACAGCGACAATGTGGTTCTCCGGCAAGATATCGACCCAGTCAATGTCGTCGGGGGTGCCTTGGACTAGTCAAAGGACATTCCAGTCGTACGTATATGGAAAAAGGAACCAGTACATAGACATAAAAGCTGTACCGATCCCGATGCGCTTCAATGCAATCGTGGGCTGATCAAAGAACTCGTACTCCGACACACTCTCGACTTCGACCACGCGGTCATACAGGTACAGTTCATATTGAAACACTTCGCCAATCGACGCTTGGACTGACGCCGTGCATCCGCTGGCCACGACCACGCGCGAGATCGTGTTGATGTCTATAAGACCCCACATGAAATCATATATCAAGGGGTGTTTTGGGGGCTGTATAGACTGAACATGGTATGATATATATATATATATACCGCATTTCACGTAGACGAATCGATAGATGCAGGGAAGGACGCTGCCGTAGTCGCACTTGAATGACACTTTGCCAGTGGCGCCGGATGGCACCCCTTGGACAGGTCCGAGTTCGACGCACGTGTCGCCGGATTCGTTGTATATCAGTAGCTGGATGTAGTCCTTGGGCGAATGGTTGGCTGGCACGTCGAGGTCGACGGTTACTATCGACCCCTTCTCGATGTGCCCCCCCAGTCGAATCTCGGCAATCCCGCTCGATCGAAGACTTAACAGCTTGAGCTTGTACTCGCTGGGCCCTGTGACGCGATGAAGGATCCCCGCAGTGTCTTCTGCCACCTTGATCGAGTCCGGGTATCCAGAGTGCAAGAGCAGATCCTGCGCCCACGTAAGCAAGACAACAGCGTCGAGGACATGGAAGAAGCACTCACCTGGGGAAGCAACCCCAGCGAATCTCGGCTTGGGACGGCTCCGTGCTTGAGCAAACACTCGACGGCGGCGTCGTTCTGGGCTTGGCACGCGTAGTGCAACGCAGTCCACCCTTTCTCGTCGCGATGGTCCAAGTTGGCCTGTTTCTCCACGAGGAGGTTGATCATGTCAACAACGACCTGCTTCTTTTGGGCCGCGATCGAGAGCGAATGGCCCGTCGCCGGGTCTGTGTCCGACCCGATAGACGGAAACGCTTCGCTCTCGGACCGTTCACTGATGCCGTCCAGTTGTTGTTGCTGTTGCGGCGTTGGACTAGGCGCCTTGACGACCGGATCGCATCCTGCAGCGACAAGGAGCGCCGTCCGGCCATACTCGTCGACCTTTTCGACGTCTGCCGTCTCTACCGATGCGTGCAAGAGTTCCTTCAGACCCGCGACATCTCCCGTGCGGCACCTATCGTGAACTGACGCGCTGTTGCCCATGATGATGACGAGGAAGGAACGTTTGATGGATCGATCTCCCAATCACGACAATGATTTTCAGGGGAGAATGCCCGACGAGGAACAATGTGATTGGTTGGTGACGACGAATCAAAAGCCTTAAATCCCTGGAAATTCCTAAATCTAACCAATCAGTGTCGAGTTGAAGCTTACGCCCGCCCTCGCGATCCAACCCCATGAGCATGCAACAAATAAGTGCAAGGACGAGATGTCATCATGCTGGATGACTCAGGAATTCCTGCATGGAGAAAGGCAGCACATGTGAAGCAAGTGGATACAGAAAACACCGACGGTAGGCAACGGAACAACGCGTGTGTGATTTTTAGGGTTTACGAGGGGTGTAAGAGGCATGGAAGTCGTCGGTCGTGCCAAAGGAGGCGGCAGTGGTGGCACCACAGACGACTCTACGTCGTTCGTTCGTTCATTCGTTCACGTGGAAGAGCACAATTGCGTGAGCTCTTCGTCTTCAGACAAGGGGTCGTCGTCGTCGTCGTCCATGAAGTCGGTTGTGGAGCGCTCCGACGCAGACGACAGCGGTCGACCTTCGTCTACCCAGGAGGAAGCTTCATGAACCATGCTCATGTCACTTCCTAGCATGAGCCCGTCAAAGCAGCTTTCCAACGGCAGCTCGTCGTGCATGGGTGGTTCGATCGGTCGCCACGAGCTGCGGCTGGCGTGCACCCGCTCCAGCGCCGTGGCATGGTCCCGCATCACCTTGCCTCCACGATAGCGCTTGGGCTGCGGTACCACGAGCTGCTGCTCCGCCGAAGGTGATGGTTGCTTTCCCATACACTGATCCGATCCGCTCCGATTGGGAGTGATATGGGGAATGGTATGAAAACGTATCGAGGGATATGTACAGTGTATGTCAGTATTACAAGGGAATATCAGCCACGTCATTGATTAAATTGGGAATAGCGTTCTTAAAATGAGGGGATATGGACGACCCAAGATCAAGCGAACACGTTTGCCTCGTTAGATACCACGCAATACAAAGCCAAAGTAAAGTGGACAATCCGAGTTTACAGTCCCATCTCATCTTAAGGTTATCGACCAACGCCGAGTTGCTACATACATGCGCATGTGAAGGCCAAGTGGAATCGACGGGTCCAACGTGCACTTAGATGTTGCGCAATACAAGAAATAAGCTTGGTTCGTAGCGAGTACTAGTATGTATGTAGGTGCATCATCGACCGACCCCTTGTCTTAACGTTATCTTGATTGGTGTTGTCATGTGGGGCTGTCATTTTTGCATTCGCGTGTTCGTCACTTTTACCAATTTTCACATGGATTTCGAGGTTTTTTTGCATTTTTTCTACCAAAATAGACTTGTAAATTGCACCATGGGTTGTGGTCTCATTCTATCCCCAACTTGCCTTTCATTGGCTAAAACAACCATAATTTCTAAACGACGTGGGTTGTGTGTGACATTCGACATATCATGGCGGAAGTCCTTTGCACTTCATTGGAGATCGAAGCGCGATGGTGTGTGTTGCCGCCGTGGATCCGCACGGCGTTGCTGCATCGCGCAAAGAACGACCCGTCGCTTTCTTCCCTGGCCCGCCACGCCGTCTTCTTGGCGCATCATGCACACTTGACCGTCCATCGTCGTCTCTCGACGCCATCTCGCCATGCAGTACCCTCTCAACCCAAGTACTTTAGCCTCCTTCTGGAGGAAGCTCCACAAGAACATAACCCGTCGCACCCGCCTCGACGCATTGTGCTCCTTCACGGGTGGCACATGAGCCACAAGGATTGGAAGCAAACTGCGCGGAAGCTCCATCGCATCCACGGCTTCTCAGTCCTCCTCGTCGACTTTATCGGCCACGGCCATTCTCCGTACCTGTCCTCGTACGATGAGCACGTCCCGGCCTTGCTTGTCCACCAGGTCCGCGACGCCGTCGTCCGGGCCAACTGGCACTCCGATCCATCCGTCAAGGTCACGTTTGCCGGGATCTCCATGGGGGGCGCCGTCTCACTTCGCTACGCGCAGTTGTATCCGTCCAATGTGTATGCCTTATTAGCACTAGTGTTGTATCTGTTTATATGTGTGTATCCTCTTCCATAGCGACAAGATCATCCTGTTGTCGGCAGCTGGCATGCCAGTCACGCGGTTCTACGCCATCACGCCGTACACCGGGCCTCTAACCCTCGCCCTCGTACGTCGCATGAATGCACTTTGCCGCCGCCATCCGACCATTGCATACTGGATCAACGCCATCCCCGTGCTCCACAAAGCATTTAGCCACATCCACCTCGTGCAGCACGCCCCCACCCACCAAGTACACCCCCGACACCTCGACCGCCTCCTCTCTCGATTCGTGTCGGCCGCCGTCTGGGCACATGTGGACATGCTGCATCCGCTGCAATTGGAGCTGTTCCCGACGTCGTTGCGAGTGCGCATCGTGCCGTGGGTAAACCACGCGCTGTTTTGCAAAGTAATTGATCTCCTGCAACTCGATCAAGACATCGATCTGTGGACAACTGGTCGTAGATCTGCCACACCTCAATTCTGTAAACAAGTGTAGATACTAACTAACGTTATTATGTAATCAAAGGGTACTTATTGTGCATCGCACCCACATTTGGACTTGAGAGTCATTTCGCCAAATAGCTTTCGAATCTATTTGATCCTATTTAAGCTTGTACACACTATACTTCTATACAACGATTCGTAGATATGTGGTTTTGCCCAATGCGGAGGGGTCAAACGTTTGGATTGGCAGAAAGTGGACAAGACGTGATTTGATTGGCTTAGGTGGTTCTTTAATGGATTCACCTAAGCTACAGTTTCGAGTCGATTTGACAATATTAATACAACAAAAAACATATATTATTAATAGTAACGTTATGCCTGGAAACAAATACATGTGGGCAACCTCTCCTAATAATGTCATTATACACTGTAAACCTATTCTCCTAATAATAATGTCATATTCACAAGGCGACGGAGTACAGACCCTGCGCCTGGAAAGGTACTAGTAGTAGAGTGACAGTAGTTGTATTAGTATTAATGTACTGGGGGTACACTGTCGATGTTTGCCAGGCCAGTAGCATGCCATCAATTGGATCTGCATGTACATACATAGTATTCGTACACGGGACACGCGAGCTCTACTTTCGACGGCGCAGCTGCGCTCGCGCTTCGTTGAGCATGAGTCCGTAAAACAGTTTGTAATCCATCGACGCCACCAACCGATCCACAAACCACTTGTATGTCTCGGCACTCGGGCTCGACGACTCGATGGCCTGCTCGCATGCCGCGTAAAAGTCCTTGGAACTCACGTCTTCCTTGTCGAGAAACCCTACACAACAGCAACATCAACCGCCGCCACCACCACCACCACCAACGACAACCATCGGGTGTACTGTACCTTGAATACGACCTTCAAACAGCGCCAGGTACTCGGCATGCAACTCCTTGTACTCGTGCTTGTGCTCGACGTCGTCCGACTTGGACTCGGCCGCGTCACCAAACGACGCCGCATGCTCCCTAACCATCATGACAGGTTGTTGTTGAAGAGAGGTCCAGTTAGTGGCCGCCGGACGTACGCGGCAAAGTCGTCAAACGCGCGCTCAAACGCAGGTGTCGCGCAGTACTCTGCCGCTCGCTGGAGAATCGACATGCTGAGCAGAACTTTACTGGCGGTTGTAGCTGTTGTGGCGACCGTTTCACTGTGCTGGCAATTTCAACCAATCATCGATCAGGGTACGTTCAAAATGACCAATTTGTAAACCATACATTGCAGAAGCAAATACTTCGAAGTAAGCAAACACTACATAACGCTAGTAACTGTAAGTACTAACGAGTAAGTAGTATTTTATTAGCAGTAGCTGATACATGTATAATAATAGAATCAATGATATCTCTCGTAGTGTACTACAGTATTAATAGTATTAGAGAATACTATTAATAGTATGTATTACTGTAATACCGGGTATCTGTATATTACCGTCACAATCTATATTCATGGAACACGATTCCTCTTGGAGTACTTACTACTGAAGTAGAGACTTTTACCGATATATTGTTTGCCATCATTACGTACAGTATTCATAGTAATACACTGCACTTGTTAAATAAACGTAGATCTACGACGATATCATCACTGGTATCTAGGCTTGGGTGGTTCTGTACAAGACCAACTCGTCGTTGGCCAACGTAGCTAAAACCCCCATCGTCGGCCCTGCCCAGCCATGCTGGACGTCCACGATGGGTTGAGGGGCATCGATATGGCGCACCACGGATGACGTGGCAACATCCCATAGCTTCAATTCATGGGCCCCCACATCCCCCGATCCCACAACGACGTCGCCGCCGCCGCTGGACCATATCGCGGCTCGCGTGATGGCGCTGGGGGTCACGTGGCCCTACCCCCCCCATTATCAACATCAGTCGTTTTTTTTATTTCGACCCACCCCCCTCCCTCCCTACCTGCAACACGCCGTCGGCTTCGGTTTCCACGAGCCCGTCGTCAGGGTTGTGACGCAACGACACGACGAAATGCTGCGCAGGACTCGTCGTCGTCGTCGAATAAGAGGAGGATGTGCTGGTTGCCGTCGTCGTCGTCGTGGTTCGCGTGGACACGACCAGCTGACTGGGCGTTTGGGGGTTGTTTGCCATGGCGCAGCAGTGCTTGATGTCCATATGCATGTGGTGAACCAAAGACTGGGCCGATTCGGCTGCGGCCCAGATCGAGACCCCGCTGAACGTGGCGGCGACCACGACCTAGCCATGCATCATATCCTGGCGGAGGTGGACTTTTGGCTAGAATGCGATTGCTTTGGTACCGGCGTGTGCATCGGCTCCAACACCAACGACCGCACGGCGTGGACAGGTTGTTTAAAGTGATGGGTCAACGAATCTGCCACTTCAGCGCCTGGTTTGCGCATGTCGAAGCGCGACAGCGTGCCGTTCTGGTGGCCGACCCAAATCTACAAACAACATTGTATGTATGGGGTGCTACGAATATATCCAGTCATGTTTGGGTCTACATTCGGTCACCTTTTGTTAGGAAAGGAAAGAAAATCGATCACGTTTTGTGAATACCTGATGCGCGTTGGACGCGTCCCAGCAGCACGACCAACCGTGGCGGCCTGGCATGTCAAAGTGCAAGATGGAGCGTTGGGCCATTGTACTTGTCTGAAAGAAACGATCTCGTCATCATATTACTTGATCACGTCATCACTACTAGATCACGTCATCGAGGTTCGTACAATGTGCAGTTTGCCGTCCATGGCGGTCGTGGCCACGTATTTGCTGTCGGCACTCACAGCGACGTCGCGGATGGCCAGTCGATGCAGCGGAATCGACGCGCGATGTTGAATGTCCAAGAGACTCACCTAGTCATATTCCATGAAAGAGGGCTTGCCACGTCATAGTATGAGATTTAGTATACCTGCAAGAGTCCATGGGAGTCTGGGCCGAGTTTGGTTCCCACGCCGAGCAGGTCGCCGCGCAGGGAGATGGCGCAGACACGCGAGTCCGAGCACACAATGGATGCGAACTTGGCATATGCCCATGTCGCAGGTCGGGCAGCACTCTGGGAGGACGAGGGGGGCGGCGGCGGCAGCGCCATGGACTTGAGCATCGAGTTCTCTTCCAGCAGCTCCATGACACGGTTTTTGTGCTTGTCGTATTCCAGTTGGAGCGCGGCATGCTGGAGTTTGAGCTTGGCCACCTCCATTTCGATCTAATCATCAAAGTCGTGAGGAGCGTTGATGGATGGCAGGTGTCGGACATACGGCGGAGCGCGCAGCCTTTTCGGCCAGGTACTTCTGGTTGAATTCTTCCTGCCGACTGTTGTCCACGACAGAGACCGAGTCGGTGAAGAGCACGCGCACGTCGTTTCGCTTCACCGCCTGGCTGCACACGGGACAGGTCTTGCTCTGTTTAACCCATCGCTCGATGCAACTTTGGCCAAACAAGTGGCCGCACGCGAGACTCGCCAGACGATGCTCCCCACTGGTCACACACTTCTCGCAGCAGATCGTACACTCCGTGGCATGTATGCTAGGCTCCGGCTCATCTTCCGTCAGGTCAACGTCGTCGTCATTCGAATCGGCGGCGGTGCCGCGCCGAAGCCGCCTTCGCTTGGACATGTTTTTTGCCGATGTGTTCATCTCCACAACGAGAACCAATCAGAGGCGTCGATTGTATTAAACGCTTTTAGTGTTTTACGACGCTAAACTTGAAAAATCATGGTGGTTTACAGTTACAGTTAACGCAGTCTGTCAATGCAAGGGTCACTGACGTTTTTTATTTACCCAATAAAAGAGTTAAAATGTCAAAATACGTTATTCAAATTTTATTGCAGCATGCCTGATGTGTACGCATGGGGATCAGGCAAGTCGACGGTGTTGTGGCATCTCTCGTGATAGATTCCTAGGCTCCTCGGGACAACTGGGCACGCGCGATGAATTAGACTATGCGGTGCCGGTGAAAGTAGACCTGGAGGTAGATGCCCGTCCTCTGTCCACACCTTCAATCAACCGCCATGTCGAGTAGGCTGAGCTTGTCACCGTGACCACTGGCGGAGGTCACAGCGCAGGTATGTCGTTTGTGTGCTACGATACGTCCATTGTCTGCGCGATGGAATGACGCACTGCGTGCAGGATGGACGGCAAGTGGACAACTCTACACATGGGGCGACGACAGTCATGGTCAGTTGGGGCGTGTATCATCATCATTGTCGTCGCCACTGCGCGTTCAGCATGTCGAGGGATTGCCTGTATGAACCAGCCTTGCATGATCTTGTCCTTATCCTGCATGTAGCCGATTCAGGTTGCGAGCTGTGGCTGGTGGCACACCGTGGCCATATCCCAATGCGCCGACGACAGTACCAGCAGCACCACCAGCACACAAGTGTTTGCCTGGGGTCACGGCCATCCTTGCAACCACACAACTGGTACTAAAATATGACTGACGTTATCACGACAACGTCACTCGTCCACTTGGACGATTGGTCGTACATAGTTGCTCTATGTTAGCAACGTGTAATGATGCCATATTGTACATCCAGGGATTGCTTTCAAGCCAAACAAGAAGGTGCCGTTGATGGCAGCATTTCCATCGTCTGTTCGCATCACAAGTGTATCGTGTGGCTGGAAGCATTCGCTCTTGGCCACCCGCGATGGACGGGTTCGTACACTGGTCTAAATACTGCAACACGTCATTCGTGTGTCGTCCATGATAACGTGTCCATCCAATCATAGTAGAAAAAATATATGTCACGATGGATAACGTCGTCGCAATATATGTTAGGTATTTGCATGGGGCAAAGGTCGTTCTGGGGAGCTGGCCATGGGGCCCCATGTCACAGATGTGGCGGTGCCGACGGTGGTGCCGTCATTGACAGGTCAACCCATCCGACGGGTCTGTTGCGGGTGGCAGCACTCGGTGTTCCTCACCGATCTCGGCCACGTTCGTAACTACCTTCAAATAGTGTGACCGAATTTCTCCATCATATATCTCTCAAATAGTGTGATCGATCTTCCCCATTGTATCCCTCAAAGATGCTATGTTGCATCATAGGTGTGGACCAGTGGCAGCAACAAGCACGGCCAACTTGGTGTGGCAAATGTATGTCATACTATGTCACATTGAAGTTGAATGTTGTGACGTGGCAGAGTCTGCGTGGGTTTGAACCCTGTCGGGCGTTGATCGATGACGTGATCGATGACGTGGCTGTGGGGTGGCATCACGTGGTCTGCATTGGCCAAAGCGGCGTTGTCTATTCATGGGGCAAAGGGGATTTGGGTCAATTGGGTACGTGATGTTCCATCTTAACACAAATATATATATAATCAGTACATCATCACATGCATCGAAAGGGTCTGGAGTGTTCGAGTCGACGTCCACTCCGCAGCCAATTCCAGTGGGCGATCGTACAAGTCCCATCGTCCAAGTTGCCAGTGGGTCAGAACATTCTCTGTTTGGTAGTACATTTGCGTACTTTTGGAAATATGTTGTATACATGTGCGATGTAGTGACGGCCGCCGGGGACGTCTATTCGTGTGGATGGGGCGAGCACGGAAATCTGGGTATGATTGGATGTGATGACGTGTAGTGACATATATGTCACTATAGGACATGACGACACTGCTAACGTGGCGTCGCCCACAAAGGTGGAGTACTTTTATGCCCGACGTGTGCGTATCGAACGCTGTGTTGCTGCGGGCGCAGTGTCCATTGCCATAACGCACTAATGTCAAATGTCCAATACATTTCTGGGTCACTCGACTCGAATCTACGTTGGTTGCTTGTGCATACTCTACTTTTATCTATAGCCAGTAAACCTTCGGATCATTCTTTCCCCGACTCAAAGTCAACGCGCTCTATTACTATAACGCATTCTTCGCGGAAGGCATATATATATATTGTGCCAACGCATGTTGGGTCCTATATACTACGTAGTACTTTGAAGTAGTACCATATTAGTACTTCGAGGTATTACAGTAGTTCGGGTGACCCAGAGCAGAAAATTAGAGTGACCCAGGTGAAATAGAACTTCTTGGAGAAGCTCAAGGTATCTCTGGTCACTTGACTATAATCCGTGGAAGTTCCCTCTGTAACATTTACTGGTAAAGATGATATTCACGTTAATTTAATTTGGACACAAAGCACATTCAAGTTTTTTCATGGCGGTGGTGTTGTACGTGGTGGGGCTGGCGCTGGCGGCCCTCGCCGTGCGCATCTACTTCTTGGGGTCGAAGAAAGCTCTGATCAACTGGATCGCGAACTCGTCCATCTTCTACTATATGTACAAGCGACAGCTCGCCGCGCACCATGCGTCACCAGACTTCAACGTGACGTCGTTCGAGACGACGATCCTCGACGGCGCCGCGACCGTCGTGACGATCCCGTTTCTCCAAGACAACTTTGCGTACATTCTGTTCGACCATGCCACGGGTGAGTGCGCCGCCGTGGACGTCGCCGACCCCCAAGTCGTGCTGAACGTGTGGCGCGCATTGGTCGCCCATCGCTCGCCGCCGTCGCATCCGTTGACGCTCAAGTACATCCTCACGACCCACAAGCACTTCGACCATGCAGGAGGGAATCGCAAGCTCAAGGCGGCATTGACCTCCGCGACCATCGTCGGCGGCGTCCTCGATAGCGTCCAAGGGTCCACCAAGCAAACCTGGCATGGCGACAAGCTCAAAGTCGGCAGTCTCACCGTCGAGACATTGGCCGTGCCTTGTCATACAATGGTAATCCCCATATATATACTGTATATACTCTTGTGCTTCTATCATTGTAAGTGATTGAAATATAAGGTCATTTTGGATATGATACACTATTAGGGCCACGTGGCGTATTATGGTACAGTACTCCTCTATTTCCTACCTTTTCATATTTCCTGTGACACAGTTCTATCGTGTGTATTGTTGGTAGTGTCCGCCACCAACCACACTGGCCACGGCTGCGTGTTCACTGGAGATACATGTACGTAACACATATCGTTTAATATATATATATATATATATATTGTCCTTTTACCCAAAATGTAGACTTTTGTGCTGAAACGCCAAATCTATCGATCGATTCTTTGTACTGAAATTTGTATGTAAAAAGATGCC